CCTGTGCTAATCCAATACCGCTGACATTCACTAGTGTCTGCCTGACGATGCTGATGGGATATGAAGCGCTCGTTATATCCCATCATCCTAGTTTGGCTTCCTGAATGAGATGCTTCACTAATCTGATCTGAATCTTCTGTAGTGATGAAATACACTGTTGGGTGTTGATTATATTAGACGTAACCTGTGTGATCTGCTCTCAAATTCATATGAAATATTAAAAGTTCCATGGAGATCAGTGCAGGTTAGCAAGAGCCCTATGAAATCCACTTTATTTCTATTTATCTTATTATTTTTAATAATAATCAGCTGATGTCATGAGGTCACGGGGTCAAACGGGGAAATGAGCCGCTGCTGTTGGAGTTTGATTCTCTGGTTTATTTGTGCAGTATGTTTTTGTCCTTGTTGAAACTGACTGCATGTTCTAGTAGCTGCGGTTTGTGTGACCCAGCAGAGAGTGTGTGCGTGTGCGTGTGCGTGTGTGTGTGTGTGTGTGTGTGCGTGCGTGCGTGTGTGTGTGTGTACGTGTGCGTGTGTGAGAGTGTGTGTGTGTGTGTGTACGTGTGCGTGTGTCTGTCTTTGAAGCTGTTGTCCTCTCAGCACACCTGCACTCTCGCTGATGAACACACACACACACACACTCTGTTGCAGTCTCTAGTGGGAGTTTGTTATTGACCGAAAATTTTATCTCAATATTTTCTGGGATTTTGTTTCATAACAATAATTAGACCGTATTTTTCTGAGTGTGTTTTTGTTGTTGCTTTGACAGGTTTAGGCCTGTCGTGGACCGCTAACTTACAGGCTTTTCATATTCATCATATTCTGCACAGCAGTGATATAAATTAATTTTTCTATTAAAGGCAGGTAGGTGATTTGGTTCAAAAACATGTTTTGTTCTGATGATTGAAAGCCTCTTCACATCCCAATAGCAATCACTAAGTGAAGTGCTCTAAGTGTATTTAGCCTATATGTATTTATATCGTCTGTGGAAGGCGTAGGAGTATAAAATGTTCGTCCAATCAGATTCCTTGGTCTTTATGAATGGTGATTGAATCATTCACTCAGATGATTTGTTCAAAAACTCTGATTCACTCAGTAATGAACTGCTTTTGCTCTGGCTTTGTTTCGAACAAAATTTCTTTGGCATTAAAACGGCATTCTACTCCACTCTTAAAAATAGCTTCCAAAAGGTTTTTTTGCTTAGAAGAACCTTTTTTGGTTCCTCAAAGAACCTTTCAGTCATCAGTTCTTAAAGGAAACTTTTTTTCGTCTTATTGGAATTAGGGTTGTAAAGGGATGAACATTCTCCGGTAAATTTCCGGAAACTTTCCAGAAATTCCCGGAAGATTAAAAAAAAAAAATCCTGGAAAGTTTCCAAAATTTCTGGAATGTTTCTGAAATTTAGTGGAAATTTTCCACCCTTTTGCATACCTAATTGCAAATAATATTTTAGAGTGTTTTTCCACTATAAAGAGCCTGTATGTTAAAGGTTCTTCACGGAACCATCAATGCCAATACAGAACCTTTATTTTTTATAGAGTAAAATGCATCACACAGTCAGTGCATGGGCTCTCAAGGTGTGATTTTGTTTGGTTTTTGCGCACCGTACTCTCTAATGTCAGCTCACACATTCAAAACAACAATTACAGTATTATCGTAGAAGATTCATATCGCACACCTCTAGTCCTATCATGTTTATTCTGTGATTTTTACTGTGGTCTGTAGAGTGTGTGCCAGCCGGAAGTTTAACACTAAAGCTTCACACAGATGAACATCGACACATTTACACATCAGTGACGTCTGCTGAAGAGTTTACGATAAGAGTGTGAAAGCATGTGCTAGGGCTGGGCGATTTGGCAAAAAATTTAAATCTCGTTTATTATTATAATTTTTTTTTTAGAACGTTTGACCGATTCTCAATTTTATACGATTTTTAACTAGTCAACTTGAAAATGTAACTACAACATGATTGAAGTAACTTTTTCTTTATTAACCCTCTAGTTAAAGAAAATTCTATTCCAAGTGCAGCACACATGAAGATGTCAACATGATGTAAATGTTAATCAAATCACTTGTTAAGTATCTTTGCAGAAAAGATGCATGAACTACAACTACATCTTGTACAAAATAACTGAAGGTATAACACCAGTAGACTATTATTAACTACAAATGTTCTGTAAAAACAACAGCAGCTTTCAGTCTGTCACCAAGATGCAAACATGAAATATCAGACATACAGTAGTAGATACAGTTTTTTTTTTAATTTGATTGCGCTGCTTTTTGATTGTAAACATGGACGTGTTTGACTGTTGCGCTCGCGTCTCTTGCATAAAACAGCATTCTAAAAATGCGGTGCTTAAGTTAAAAGAAGTTCACTCCCATCTTCTTGCATTTTTTTCCTATTCCACTGCCCACGTCGCATCTTTGTCAACACAAAAGCGCATTCTGAGTGAATGGTGCCTAACGATATATTTATGGTTCTTCACAGAGCGCATCACACGTGTATCGTTCTTTTCTCTTTACTGTAATCACTGGGCGAATTAATCGCCCAGCCCTAGCATGTGCTGTATATTAATGATGCTGAATGAAACTGTTCGGTAATGAGCGCATGTCCTGAGCGTCACCTGTGTGTGACCGGTTCAGACGTCTGCGAGGGGAAGTTGTGTGTGTGTGTGTGTGTCTCGTGGGCTAGAAGTGGAAAACGCGGCCCTCGCACACGCGTGATTCACCTGCTCTCTCCTCTGGAGGATGAGCGTGTTTGAGATCAGTCTCGGCGATAAGCACAGGAAATGGTGAGGCTTGTTTGCGTGTGTGTGTGTGTGTGTGTGTCGATGGCGTCCGGTGGTGACAGGATGTGACAGTTCTGTGTGTGTGTGTGTTGCAGCTTTGCCCACTTCACCAGTGGAAAATTGCACAGCAGCAGAGATGAGCGTGTCGTCTTCATCTGCTCTATTTAATGTGTGAAGCCCATGTTCTTCTCCTGCGGCCTGATAAATGACTTTGGTAAATCCCCACATACAGCAGAAAGACATGCGTTATATTGGGCCTCTGCTGCTGCATTTATATAGAACAATCTCAACACCCACCATACGAACAGCTCCATGTGTTCATGAGGGCAGGATGGCGTGGGTTAGTGTTTGTGGGGTATATATATATATATATATATATTAGGGCTGGTAAGTGATTAAAATTTTTAATCTAATTACATGATGTGGCGATTAATTAAACTAATTAAAATTTGGCTGAGATATTACTCCCAAAAGATACTTTAAAGTCATTTTTGTGTAAAGGATCAAACAGACATTACAAAAAGTAGCTTCAGCAAGAAATATTTTGTTTGATTCAACATAAAATTTATTACA